TTGCAGTGGTGCCCTGAAAGACCTCATATTTATTCACCAAGTCATGCAAAATGACCACAAACATAACCTAAAGGGGTCCCCTTGGGTGGAGTGTCGGACAGTCTATTTAAAGCCACGGATCGATGCATGTAAGAAGCATGAACTTCTGGTGAACTTAATACTTAATTCCACAGACCCATTTGGCAAAACTAATCAAAAGAAAGACGCGATAAACACCAAGACTCCCGCGAAAAGAATGAGGGACACTCACCGGCAGTGCGGACACTGAGCTCTCTGCTCCGTCAACCAGCGCTGGAAAAAGGGCGAGAAACAGGGAAAATCGAAAGATTATTAGTGCGAAAATGGTCAACGAAGAAAAGCAGAAAGGATCTTGTGTCCATTAATAGAGTGTTTCCCAATCCAGTTCTCAGGGAGCCCCAGACAGACCAAAATTTTTGCTCTCTCCCAGGACGGTCTGTGGGTCCCCCCAGGAACGGACTGGGAAACACTGCTTTAAGAAAAGAGATAGAAGATTCAAGCATTATAGCAATGACCTCACAATGAGGCCTTAACACTTTTTCCATATAAAGGCTCCATGTACCTGGGGATCTGGATATCCCTCTTGTGAATATCACCACAAAGGAACAGACTCACTCTCTCTATCATCTGTGATTCTCAGCACGATTCAAAACCACCCACTGAAAGACATATTTACATCTACAAGTTCCTCTACAGTGTAGCACACTGGTAAAATGCAGCTGAACGGCAATCAACAAATGCCTTGGCTCAAGGACTAAAGCTTATTGTCCTCAACTGAATTTGAACATTAGCTGTCGGGAAAAATGTTCTACAGGACAAGCCTCTTTACCACAAGTTTACCCACATCTCAAGACAGTTGCCTCCAAGAAACTGCGACCAGCCTCCGTATTCCAGAACCACAACCCAGGGCAAAAACAAAACTGCCGTGAGACATTTCCAGTAAGACACAATGAAGTCTTCAGCAGTTACACCACACCTTACCAGCACCTGCCACCTGCAGGCAGAGAATATCATGGCCTGATGAATAAAAATGGATTTTAATTATAGCATCACTTAAGTAGAATATCAAGCTCAGCTGTGTAAGTGGGCCTACACACCAGCGCAGAGTGGGGAAATGATCTATAAATGAACACTCCCACTAAACACATGTACACAGATTGGCAGGCTGGGGAGGGACAGGTTCATGTCTCCCATGTTTACCAGATGTGTTAAGTTGAAGTAGCAAATGCCTTCTGCACAATTTCCAAATTGAATATGTACATCCAGGATCATAAAATCGGACATGAGGGAAAAACTACTGCTGATATCCCCCCTTCCTGATATCCCCCCTTCCTGATATCCCCCCTTCCTGATATCCCTTCAGTAGCAGACAGCGTGCTCAGTAGGAAAATCATGCATGTTAACCCAATATCAGTTAGTAGAAGATTACAAAGTGAATGATCAACTCATGTGGAGGCTGACTGTTATATTTCCAAGCAACAACAAACCACAAATGCATACAATTTTAAAACACATTCTTCTCTGATGCCGAGTGGCTACATTCCCCCCGAAGATGAGCTTATTTTCACGCTACGTCGTTTGACGTACGAGCCAAGTGAAGCCCCGCCCCCCCCCCCCCCCCCCCCCCGCCCGACCCATCCTCACCCGGATGCAGCTGAAGCAGCAGAGCTTGGAGCAGTGTGGGCAGAGCCGGGCATCCCGCAACTTTTCCATGCAGATAAAGCACCTGAACACCTCCGCAATACTCTGGGGGGGGGGGCAGAAGTAAGGGATCGTGTGTATGAAAGAAGAAAAAAACTGCATTAAAAGGAACACGGGGTCTATCAGGAAATAAATAACAGTAGTTATGCATTCAACACAGAAGCACAACCCATAACTACAAACGTCTCTGAATGGTATGTATTCCAGTAACTACCATTTTGACGGGAATTTAAATTAAATGACCCATTATTTGCCTTTTGCACAAGTACATTGGAATGCTTCTTTTCATAAATTCTAACTTTTCTTCAGGTGACAGTGAGGCTATGCTGGCAGTGCTTGAACCAACGACCTTCTGGTGACAGACACTGAGGCCTAACCCACATGCGTCAGCTTTTTAATGGTAAAACACGTCACGCTCAGATACATACTTTAGAGTAGCAGTGATGTACAATATTAACTGCTGAGGCACTTAATTGTTTGGAACAACAGAAGAAAATGGACAAACAGCAGCAGTCTGGTAAATCTGGCAAGTCTGGAAATAGCCTATCTGGCCCTCATACAGTATTCACCTGTTACATCTGAGAGAGAAATTCATTAAATATACCTCAACACTCTGCTCATCCATTTCAGCCGGCTTTGACTCTCCAGGGGACGGCAGCAGCAGGTAAAATCTTCCAACCCCTAATACTTTAAAAACATGAAAGTAATTAGAATAAGAAATTTAAAGACAAATGAAAGAGCAGATTCAAGGGCTCCATCATTCAGTTACTTTATTTCAATTAAGCTCTATAAGATACCATTTGTGCAGTGGATGACAGTTCTGCTTGTTTGCAAAGCTGTGGATTTTCGCTAATTAGGGGCAATAGGGCCATTACCTCATAACCCCACCACCACCACCACCACCAAAGAATATGGTGATGGCGGTTACATTACAGTAGAAAAACGCCTAAATACAACATTTTGAGTCCGTTGTGGAAGGGTACCGGTAATTTGGTTGATTTTCTGTGTATAACAACTTAAGAGACTGACGACACAGCAGGTTTGCAGCAGCTACACGAGTCACAAATAACTGGGGGGGGGGCGGGTAAAAACATCCGACACGGCAGTGCAGGGAGGGGGCTGCTTTATCCGGCACCGAAGGACAGGCAATCGAGGTCTATATCAGCCAGGAAAGAGGGCATCGGGAAAGACGATCTGATTAGGCAGACATTAGGGGACTAGAAATTATGCGAGGGAAATTTATATATACACATACATACATATATACATACACACACACACACACACACACACACACACACACACACACACACATACATACACATATACACACACACACATACATACATACATACATACACATATACACACACACACATATACACACCGTGCGCCACAGTCTGTTGATCAGCCGCAACTAAAATACCGAACTAAAATAACATGCAGCCATCGTGGGATGCACACTGCAGAGAAATGGAGCTGCCGCACGTCGATGCAAAAGCTGGGCAGGACCCACCACGGGTCCTAGCTGGCGCCCAAGTGTAATCAGCGCCAGGGCTTCGTTTGGACCATCAGGGCAAGAAACAGCCTAAGCGCAGCGCCCAGTTGACGTTGACAGATTTTTAATTTTTTTTGTAAAGCGCCAGTTTGATTGCTATTTATCATTCCATCCACATGACATATATATATATACATATACACACAAATATATTAAACCATCATTCAGACACAGTTAAACAAATACACACAAGAGCAAATACTCACAGCACTAGCTAGTCAGGATTTGATTATAAGTGTAGTGTCCGTGCGGTCCGTCTTAGCGACGAGCGGGTGGGCGAGCGCAGCGCAGCGCTGCAGAGCAGGGGCGGAGCGCAGCCTATGCAGTCAGCGTGCACTGCGAAATCATATACACAAACAGCACATCGCGGAGAAAGATTAACGAATCATGGCCGACACTTCAAAACTTATACAAGCGAAGCCGTTATCACTTGCATCGGAGTAACGAGCGGCCTAGCCAAGCCGGTTAACTAGTAAGACTGTGTTTCTTTTTAACTCAATTGCACGCCGCTATTACTGCTTCTGCTACCCAGCTTGTCACCATAGGAGACCGTTCTCCCTCTTCTCGCGAGACTTTCGAAAGGTGCTGAAGTCCAATAGCAAAGAGAGGAGACGGTGCGAAGGCGGGACTTCAGGGTGGCGAGAACCAATAGCGCCATCCGCCACCAAGCTTTCCGGCCAGCTGATCCAATTTTACCAGATGGACACTAATCTGGTTGGCTGCAGAACTGGTTATACGGTCAACTATTTCGCTTACTTACGAGGCGTTATAACACACGCAAAAACACACATATCTACCCACCTATTGTGTCATTAGATTCTTTAATTCCAGTTGTAATTAATCAAGAAGACATTCATTAAGGAGTATTATTTGGTGTATGCCGCAGCATGTAATCATTATTAAATAAACATGTTTAAAGAAAGCGTTCTGACGAATACAGATGTTACTAGAATAAAAATCACTGGAACTATAAAAAACAAAATTAACTGTTTAACTTGATTGTCAAATATTGTTGCAGTATGATGTCCCCATTGAAAAGCCTGGTTCTGAGTCACTAGAAATCTCCCACAGCTCCCATGGACAATATGACCCAAATACTAAATGCAGAATATACCTGGAGAGTGGATGGAAGCGGAATTGCCTTCTCGCCATGCGGAGTCCTAATGAATGAGCCATATTTAATGTCCCAGGGGAACACAAATAAATTGAAGTCTTTCATTCAGGCTAGATCCACCGAGACACCTGATCTCAATTTGAAGGATGCTCTTTCTGTAACAAGTATTCAAACCAGATTACTATGAAACGGGTCAAAGTCTAAGTAAACCTAGTAATGTGAACAAATTGAATGTTTCTTTGAAAACAAAGTGAATATTGCAATTCTGCAATTATGTGATTCATTTTAATTTTATATATATATTCTCTCTCTCACACACACACACACACACACACACAGATAGCACCTCCAACAGGAAAGAATCAATTAATGTATGGCTAAAACCCTGCGACTGGGGAAAAAAATGTGTTCCACAAACATATTTTTCATGGGCCTAAAACTGGATTGGATTGCACTTAAGCCCCAAAGCTCAAGCCCGGACAGTACTTCCTTCATGCCGGGCTGTACTGATTTGGCATAAAGATAGAGGTCTGAAAAGCAGAGAGGGTGGGGCCCAACATGATGCAAGACAGAATAAAAAATTTGAAAGCACTGAGTGTTGAACAAAGATTCAGTTATGATTATTTTTTTGCCTTTCAATTTATTTCAGTGTTGCACAGGGTAAGCGTTTCATGAAGGTAAATGCTCATTTGATCATTGTTTATCTCCTACAACCAACACACTTGTGTTTACAATACAATAGTAAACAAAAACCCAATCTTCAGCATTGGGGAAGTTCTCAAATTTGACAGTGGGATGTACCAGTGCAAAACACACCTGCGCTCCCAGAGTAAGTGAAAAACTGGATCATCAACACAACAGGGATACAGTAATGACAAAAAAGCAAGGCAGAATGAGAAGAACTTTCGAAATCAAGCTGTAGTACCAAGAACACTATAGTAAATGAACAAGAAAGGGGTGGATGTGAAATCTCTCAACATTAATGAGTACTATGTAAAAGCCAGTGGCAAAATAAAATGACATTTCATGTGCCAAGACGGCATTGCATTATCTGGCACCCTTAAATCACTGATACGATCCCCCTGATGCCAAATGAAATTCATTCATTGTTATGGAAGCAATGGGCGGAGCCTAAGGAAGGCGGAGTCTTCTGGGTCTTTATTTAAAGGCAGTTAAATTACAAGCCATGAACAATATAAAACAATATTATTCTCATAAGTTATTTTACATAATAAATAGTCACATTAAGACCATTAGTTTGATACTTAAATGTACATTTTTACATTTTTAAAAGACATCTAAAGTAGTGTACCTGTGACAGTCACTCGAAACGACTACACTTGGGAGTATGTTACAAACAAATGCAGTCCTCCACACTTCATGGGAAGCTTATTTCTCAGCCCGGATCCCCAGATACCCCCCAGACGGTCCGCGTTTTTGCTCCCCCCAAACAGTGCACATTTTTTGGGAGCTGTGAGGGACATGGAATGTCTGTGGGTCCCCGAGGACCAGAATGAGAATCACCGGCTTAAAATATAACCATAAGATTCCTACCAGCAGCAACAACCTAGTCATACCCATACTGGGACCTTCAATATTCTGCCTTCATAAAGTTCAGAACAAAACAAAATCGAAATAAAAATGTGATTTACAACAAGACATGTTCTACCTAAAGGAATAAAATCCATTGATTCCATGTCTAAATTAAAGGGAATCCCAAAGCAAAGCCATACCCTTTAATGCTAGAATGTGTCGTGTTCTCTGTCCAGTGTTACCTACCGCTGTTATAAAGCGATTGATCAGCAGTAAACTTGAGCTTAATTATATAAGCATTTTCCACAGAACTGTCAGTCCCTATACAGTAATAACTACTACATTAACAACAGGTATAGATCAATGTCTCACCATTTTCTACACTTAAAATCAACAGCAGTAGTATGTTTGTGTAATTTATACAATAAATTTTTTATTTTCCAGATGTCTTGGTACATTAACGGCTAAACAATTAAATAACCCTATCTCCCACTGCAGAAACCGATCACTGTACTTGGGTATTTAGCCTTGTTATAAATAAAAACGTAAACCATAGCAGAACAGTACTGTTCCACTGACAACGTGATTCATTTATCATCTATTGTTCTCATCCCTAAAATTAGAACACGTGGTTTCAGATACTCACCAGCAGAGGGTGTCAATGGGCAAGTTCTGACCAAGACGATGTACAAAAACATTTCGAAGCTCATTTAGAAGTGCAAGCTAGTACCTCAGATCATATTCTCTGTCAAGCATGACGTGAGGGGAACATACTCAGAATTAGGCAACCACTTCACGAATCTGAAGTACTGGGCGAAACAAGACGTCTCTGAAAAATACATTTACAATTGTTGTTGATCACAAAAAAATGCTCCCTTCAGTTTAAAGACAGATTAAATTGACCATCTGAAACTTACGTGTCTATTTTTAAAAAGACAATAGAAAGCATCCTTGAACACTTCAATAAAATCAATGCGGCAAGATAAAGCTTATTGCAGAAGTGTCACCGAACGACTGGCATTACTGAACGCTGTACTTTATATCAGCATTGCCCAGCTTATGTTTCATTGCATTATTAATTTCTCACTTTACGTTCTTAGCGCTACACCTCAGATTACAGAGGTATAAGGCAAGACAGTGACAAATAATGTCCAATGTAAAATCATAGCGGTTCACCATAAAACTTGATGTACAGTACGGCTAACGTGTGAGTGGCTATCCCAGAATGCACCGCTACACCCAGAGCCTAGCTTCTGCTGCCGTCCAGTCACAATGAAGAGGAAAAGGAAACTCAACAAGGGGAAGTTAGATTAGTGAGGAACATACCTATCAGTTCAAGCACGTGTATTCTGGAGGGCAGATCCAAAATAAGAGGAGTGCGATTTGCACTCTTGTTGCTTTAATAGTTACTATAAAATGGCTAGAGCAGTACTTAAGCAGCTAAGCTGGGCAACAGGAGGGTATAGCTTCATGCTAGCTCATCCCATTAGCATAGTCTGCTTGGGCATTAGAGCGGGGTGTGTGGCCATAAATGTTCAGCATGCAGGGGACAGTGTCGAGCGTAACGGGGGACGAGGGCAGGGCGCCACATGGAGGTTAGCCAGCAAAGACCTGCGGCTGCAGTGGTGGCGGCAGGCGGTCATTCTCCACGTTGTCCGAGTCGATCGCTGAGGGGGGAGGCCGGATCTCCAGGGGGTATTTCGCCAGGATCTCCTGCACCTCGCGCTCCACGGCCTCCCGCCAGCTGATGAGGTCGCTCTCCAGGTTCCGTGCCGCTTCCAGGACACGCTCTTGCCGGACGCCGAGCCCATTCAGCAGCTCCAGGTTCTGGTGGGCGGTGCTGAGGGCGGGGCTGCCGTCGGGGCCTGCTGGGGTCCGGGGCCCAGGCTCCTGTTTGTGGGGAGACGCCTGGCCTGACATGTAGCGCTCGAAGTCCTCTGGGCTGAGGTTCAGAGACTGGGCATCCAGCTTCTCGATGAAGGCCACTGCGCAGCACTGTGGGACAAAGCGGGAGGAGAGGTCTCCAAGCTGTCACACACACTGTGGCTCACTCTGGAGCACTCCTGCCTCACACCTCCATGGCTGACGGTTCGAATCACAACACTTTTGTGTGTATGTAGGTACTTTGGTTGGGTTGTCTCAGCCCAAAGACATGAAGTAAGATGAGTGGCTCAGCGGGCTAAGCCTCTGTGCCTGCGATCGGAAGGTCGCTGGTTCAAGCCCAGCCTTGGCAGAATGGTGACATGACTGTGGTCTCTTGCATGAGGCCCTTAACCCCCAGCTCCATGTATACCACTGCAGGTGGCTGCCCTTCACTGCCAAGCTTGCTTTCAATTATGTTTGTGTCTGTGTCTCATGGAGAGCGAGACTGGGTAGGCGGTAGGAAAATTTCCCCAAGGGGATCAATGAAAGTATCATTAATATACGGTGTCTGTAAACTGCATATAGTGTGTGCATTCTGTAGAAATCTTACAAGGTTGGTGAAATAGTAGCCGTCCTCTCCAGTCATCAGGCGGCTGGGGTTGCAGAAGCGAGTGATGTACTGGATGTTGGACTGCAGGCGAGGTGGGTTGGCCTTCAGCACGATGTAGATGAGGGTCGGCAGGAAGTCGTCGGCCGAGGCCGGCTCCGTCTTCGTGATCCTGATGGCGTTGAAGATGTGCTTGCTGCAGCGGGTGATGCAGGCCAGCTTGTCACGGGGCACCCGCCTGGAGTCCATCTCGATGATATCTGCAGCAACGATGAGCCTTAATAACCTAGCTAAGGCTATACAGCAGGTGCTTCAAAACAAACCGCAAATATGGAAAATAATGTTCGGGTGTCACTGGAAGGAAAACCTATTTCATGTACGCCGCATATCTTCAACTACACCAAACTCCATAAGCACTCATGCAAAGAATTTCACGTCATAGAGCACTGCACCGATTTCATGAGGCCCGGATGTCTCACCCGTGATGGCTTTCACCACATTATCGGACACTTCGGGAATCTCTTCGTCGACTGGGACGCACAGCATCTGAATGGTGACCCAGTGAAGGGCCCTAGCAGAAAAACACACAGATGGACCATAGAATAAGAAATATGCATAATAACGATGTAATCTGTGCAGCCGACCCAGAAAGATTAGGCCTGTACTACCATTGGCATCCATCAGAAAGGGGAATGTGGGCTGGCCTACCTACCTACTAACTCAAAGGCAGCTAACAAAAGGGATACAGAGGCAAAGCTGACAGCCCCACCTGATCCGGTTTTGGGTTGCCAGATCTTTCTTCTCATCGTCCGTGGTCTCGGGACAGAAGACATTCTTGTAGAGCCGAGTCATTATGTACTTCTCCACCTGGTCCATCACACGCTCCACGCGGTCTGTAGACCCTGGATGTGCATCAAAATAACATCCATCAACAACCTCCACCTACAACAAAGCATGCTCAGCCACAAGAGCAATCACTGCTCCCACTGACTTCCAATTACGTTTAATGACTTCAGCAAGTCTAAGATTACCCATCTGCCAATAACAGACATTGATCCAGTTATAAAGGGCTCTTCTTACCAGTACTATCAGTTCTTCTTGTATCCCATGCTCAAATAAAAATGAGCAGATGAACAGAGAGGTATACAACAAAGAAACTACCTGTGGATGTGTATATATCCTATATCCTTTTGGCAAGCCTCCCCAGGAAAGACCTCATTACAATAACTGCTCTCTTCTAGTGCCAAACAGAGTCTGCTAACAGGTTAGTTTTCACCTAATGTTGGACTGGCATTAAACTGGAACTGGACTTTGGGGTCCCTCACAATAAATTTTGCCGGCCCACAAAACCATCGGTCCACCGTAAAAATTCCCGTTTTCACCCATCTGCGCTTCTCAACAGGAGTTCCACCCTGTTCAACCTGGCAGGACCCTACCTTTAAAATGGGTCATCAGGCGGTCAGACATGTTCTGGTAGAAGTCCTGCACACACTCGGAAAGCTCATCAGCACTCAGGTCCTGGTAAGTGCGGAAAAAACCTCATTAACTCATGAGGCGCTACCCAAGCAGTTCAGTAACCTGGAAAGTCAGCATCAGCTCAGGATGGTAGATACCGTGTTTCTTAAAGAAATTAGGATGATCAAAATGTAGAGGTTAAGATGAAGGGTGTGAGTTTAACATGTTGTGGAGACAATGTGGATGCTTGGTGTCATACTGGATGTAGATTATCCAATCTTTGATCTGGTTTAGCTACGTTTAGATGATTTGAGAACATGCTGTTTAGTCTTTCTTCAGAAACGAATGGTTACTGTTTAAAAATGAAGCTAAGTGTAACCCAAGGATGCAGAAATTTTAAAATATTTGTACATAGAGGCTCCATGATAAGGGATCACAACCAGCCTGATAGGACAATTGAACCCTCTGCACAGAAGAAACTCCATTGCGACTGGCTAATTATTTCAAAACACCAAATGAGGACAAGAACTTCTAACCTGCCCGCTGCTGGCTCCAGCCCAGCGGCATCACCCTTTGAACCAGTACCACCCATTTACCTTCAACAGAGGCAATTATCCAACTACATGTAGCTACATATAAGCTGATTTTCACATAGTTAAAATAAACGTATTCCAAACTTCAGCGGTACCTTAAATTACAATCACATTAATTTGATGTTTACAGAAGTGTTTCCAAACCATTCCTCAGAGGCCCCCAGATGGTCCACGTTTTTGCTCCCTCCCAGACTCTACACATTTCTGCTCCCTGTCTGGCAGGGAGCTGGAAGAGAGTAAAAACATGGACTGTCTGCGGGGCCCTGGGGACTGGGTTAAAACCACAGTTGTACAATATGACCAACACTGCCCATCAGGTGTGCAGCTAGAAATTCTGGGCCCCCTGAGAAATTATCACCTTGGCCCCCCCTCCCCTTTACATTACATAACTTTATAATTTTATGTATTCTAGGGCCCTGATAAAGCATTGGGCCCCCATGGTTCTCCCAGGGGCCTATGCCCCTATGGCGCCCTCTGCTGTCCATGTCGGAATGAGGCTACCCAGATGACCCACCCTCTTATTGGCCATACTCTCAGTGAAGGCTCGACACTGCTTGTGAATATCGCGGCCCGGCTTCTGGAGGTTCTTCAGGAAGTCCACGAAATCCCGGGACACGCGGTCCGTCTCGGCACTGGCCTGTCGGCTGATGGACGGGCTTGGGGTCTTTCCCTCATGGTTTTCTAGATTTGAGTAGGGGAGGTGAGGGCACAGGTTAGGGGGCTGTGTTCCGTCCCTGTGGCTCAGGTGCCTTTTTGCATTACATAAATCGCTATAAGTTTACAGATACATAATCCACATGATTTGTCATTTTTAGACATGCAGGGCATGTACCAACAAGTCTATAGAGTGTAGAAATGGTAAACTACTCATTTTTGCCAGTGTCTACAGATGAAAACCAAGAAACCATCTTTCTAAAATAGACTCAAAGTTATATATACATTCAATAATATAAATTATACATATACATACGTTGGGTCAATGCAAATGAGCACCTAGGTAGGGAAAAACCTTTTGAGGCACAGAAAAGCTTTGTTGATAAATTGAAATGTAAAACAATCGCTTCCTCCTTCCATCTTGTACCAAGACGCCCAGCCCTGCTCCTTTATCTGCCCTAAGCTGCACTGTCTTACTCAATTGCAAATTCTTTTTTAAAAGCAAATATATGCATATCAAGATGCCTCACCTGCTATCTTAGGTGTCGATAAAGACACCAAAGAAAAGATATGCGTGAAAACCAACATGACTCCAACCCTGGGTTACAGGGACGTGCAAAAAGCAAACATTACAGTAAAACCTGCTAAGATACCCAAAAAAACACTTAAAACATACAGTCAAAGGCAGCAGACTCGACACTGGAGACAATGCCATCTGAAAGACAATACAGTATCAAATAGCACAGCTGCAGTTATTGCCTCAAAGGCTCTAAGCCACTGTCTATAAATAAAATTTACTGACACACACTTAAATACATTAAACTTGCTTCATTTAGCAAAACCATCTACCAAAGGGAAAAAGACTAAGTTTCAGCAAATCCCTTAATATTTCAAATCGATAAACATTCATTTCAAATGAAAAACAAAAGCTTACTGAGGTGTATTTAGAAAGGACTGGACTAATCCCATTACACGGCCTTTATGTTGATACAGAGAGCAACTACACGAAAAAGCAGGGCAGCAGAGCGGATGCTGGGTCTCAGCCTAGTCCGATCGATAGATTTGCTCTGATAGGAACGGCCTACAGCAGATAAGGAGTGCGAATGGAAAACACGCTACGGGCGGCGGGGGAAAGCCCACGACTGACACGCTACAAATGTCAGAAAGAGTCGCTACGGGGCAGTCTGCACGCGGGGTGTGCCGAGGGCCAGATACGGGGCGAGCAGGTCAAAACCCACCTCTCAGTCTGGAAGCCAGTGCTGCCGTCACATGACCGGATGGGCGGGAGGAGAGCATGAACGGGCATTATGTGAGTAACGACAATGAAGCACACATGCAACACATGCAGCTCTCTATTAACAGAGCGCACAGAGCACTCGGGGCTGGCGACCATGCAGGGAGCACAAACACACGCGCATGCACCGGCTGGCCGCTGCCACCACGCAGACAGACGCAAAGGCAGACTGCGGCCAACCAGAGATGGATCTCATGATCGATCAGAGTGGTGCAGCCACTTGGGGGACAGTGAAGAGAAAACAACAAAAAAAAATAAAAAAAATCACATGACCCAGGTCAGGGGGG